TGCATAAAAGTATACCAAATAATGGGGGGTGGAGGGATGGGTTAAATGGGTGAAGGGTATTGAGGACACTTGTTGTGATTAGCACTGGGGTGTCATATGTAAGTGATGAATCACTAAATTCTACTGAAACACTGTATGTTAACTAACTGGAATTTAAATAAAAACTTGAAACAAGAAAGAAAGAAAGAGAGGGAGGGAGGGAGAGGAAAGAGAAATGAGAAAAGAAAAGAAAAAGAAAAAAAGAAGTATTCCAAGTAAGAGTTGGGACTGCCAGAAATGTTGCAGAAAAAATGTCCACATTCAATGGAAAGCCAGATTAGATGTCTTTCAGGGCCCTTACAAGGCTAAGACTGTCAGATTGTTTTAGAGAATGCCAGTCACTTTAATTAACATAGTTGAAAGAACAAATTCCATGTTATAGTGTTAAGCTACAAAAACTTTGCAATATTCGTTCCAAAAACACTAAAAATTTTACTTTAAATTTGCTATTTAAATGACATATTAAAGACTGAAACAAAAAATAAAACAGAATTCTTATTAGATCATGGTGAGATTCTTCTCAAGCTGTAGAACGGTTTCCTTAAAGGCAGAATCCTCTGCCCAATTGGCTTTACTTCCTAAAATGAGGTTCTGAAACACATGTTGAATAACTGTCGTAATTTGTATCTCCATCTGCAGGTTTTGTTGTATGGTCTTTATCTTGTCTGAATTTTCCATATTGGCCAAATCATTTTTCTGTTTGTTCTTTTCAGTCTGTATTTCTAAAAGCTTACTTTCTGAAGCTTGTTTTAATTGTAATCTCTTCTTCCTAACATCAAGTAGTTTTTCCTCCAAATCCCAAGATTCCTGGTGTGATTTCATTATTAATTTGTTTAGCTTTAATACATGTTTCATGTTATCCATGAGCACACTAGTCTTGGGGTTAATTTTCTCCAGGTTTTTTTTAAGTGCAGCCGAAAGTTGCATCCTGTCTAATGCAAGCTTTTTTATTTCAAAAGCAATTTTCACATCTTCAATTTCATTTTCCAGGTCTTCAATTTTAGCTTCAATTTGCTTATCTTGCATGATTTGTTCTGGAGTTTTTTCTTCATTTGCATCAACTACTGATTTATATTCCAAGAGTTGTTGTTTTGTCTGTGCTCTTAGCCTGAGCAGCAGGGTCAAGCGGTCCTCGGGACGCGCCGTCTGGGCGCTGGCGACCTGTGGTGACCCGCCTTCCCCGCCTCCCGCTCCGGAGTCCGCGGGCTCGGCGGCCGCTTGCTCTCCGGGTTGCTTCTCCATTCTGACTGGCGCGAAGAGGAATCCGGTATTCATCCTTTCTGATGGCTGAGTAATATTCCATTGTATATATGGACCACATCTTCTTTATCCATTCATCTGTTGAAGGGCATCTCAGCTCTTTCCACAGTTTGGCTATTGCGGACATTGCTGCTATGAACATTGGGGTGTATATGGCCCTTATTTTCACTACATCTGTGTCTTTGGGGTAAATACCCAGGAGTGCAATTGCTGGGTCATAGGGTAGCTCTATTTTTAATTTTTTGAGGCACCTCCACACTGTTATCCAAAGTGGCTGTACCAACTTGAATTCCCACCAACAATGTAAGAGGGTTCCCCTTTCTGCATAATCTCTCCAACATTTGTTGTTTCCTTCCCTGTCCATTTTTGCCATTCTAACTGGTGTAAGGTGGTATCTCAATGTGATTTTGATTTGAATTTCTCTGATGGCTAATGAGGGGGATGAACATTTTTTCATGTCTCTTAGCCATTTGTATGTCTTCTTTTGAGAAGTGTCTGTTCATGTCTTCTGCCCATTTTTTGATGTGATTATTTGTTTTTTTATTATGTTACGTTAATTACCATACATTACATCATTAGTTTTTGATGTAGTGTTCCATGATTTATTATTTGTGTATAACACCCAGTGCTCCATTCAGTACCTGCCCTCTTTAATACCCGTCACCAGGCTAACCCATCCCCCCACCTTCCTCCCCTCTAGAACCCTCAGTTTGTTTCTCAGAGTCCATAGTCTCTCATGGTTCATCTCCCCCTCCAATTTTCCCCCCTTCATTTTTGTTTTTTGGGTGTTGAGTTTGAGAAGCTCTTTATAGATCTTGGAAATCAGTGCTTTGACCAATAGAACAGAAGAGAGAGCCCAGATATGGACCCTCAACTCTATGGTCAAATAATCTTCGACAAAGCAGGAAAAAATATGCCATGGAAAGAAGACAGTCTCTTCAATAAATGGTGCTGGGGAAATTGGATAGTTATATACAGAAGAATGAAACTCCACCATTCTCTAACACCATACACAAAGATAAACTCAAAATAGATGAAAGACCTCAATGTGAGACAGGAATCCATCAAAATCCTAGAGAAGAACATAGGCAGTAACCTTTTTGACATCATCCACAGCAACTTCTTTCAAGAATCACCCCCAAAGGCTAGTGAAACAAAAGCAAAAATGAACTTTTGGGACTCATCAAGATAAAAAGCTTCTGCACAGCAAAGGAAACAGTCAACAAAACAAAGAGGCAACCCACAGAATGGGAGAAGATATTTGCAAATGACACTACAGACAAAGAACTGATTTCCAAGATCCTCTTTCATCTTCTAATTGAAAGCTAGCTCTTCCAGAGTGAGACACTGGGAGGAAAGAATTGGAGAGATAGCAGAGGGTTCCTCACATGTGCCTGGCTGCCTATGGGTAGTCAGAGGTGTCCCTAGTCTCACTCTGGTGCAGACTGGGTCCATCTCTTATGATCTTCAGGATCTGAGGTTCAAGGTGTTCTTGGGGGTGATATTTAGCTTTACCATGGTCCCCTTCCCTGCTGAGGAGTCCCTTGGAGGGGGAAATGCCCAACTCACTTGGCCTCTCCAGGCTTAGCCCATTCTCTAACATGTGTTTCTTCATTTGGAACCATGAAGTCTCCATCTCCCTGTTTCTTGGTCTTATTTAAGCTGCACAAAGCTTTTCTGGAGGAAGGCTTTATACATGCAGCCCTTCCCCAAACCCCTAGGTCTGTAAAACCCTGAAAATGGAGACCCTGAAGCTGAATGTGACAGTAATGATACAATATCATGTCAAGGATCATGTTTATTTGCCAAACTGTACAAGATATTGTAACCAGAGGATGTTTAATGTAATGTTAATGATAATGTGGCAGAGACACCTAGTTGTCTCTTGGTATCTATTTTCTTCTTTAGAAATTAAACTCTAATTTTTTCCAGAATTTAAACTCCAACCTCCTTTGCAGCTATGTGTGACTAAGTTCTGGCCCATGAGATGGGAAAGGAAATAGGTGTAGCTTTTGGGTCACACCCTTAAAGGAAAGAGGCATATTCTTTATTTTTCCTGCCAGTGGGAAGTTCGACATGGTGGTAGGCTATCTTTGATGAAGTGGATGAAGACATACCTTGGGATAACAGGGCAACCTGCTAGAAGGAGCCTGGCTCTCTCATACTGTGGAACCTGTCTAACCTCCCTGGACTATCAATAAGGCAGTCTGGTTTAAGGTTTTGTGATTTTTGCATCTTATTAAAGCAGTGAAACCTCAGCCTCAACCAATACAAATTGCCATTTTTTGGGTATATCCTACATGCCATGTGCTGTGCTAAGCTTTTCACATACGTTATTTAATCTTGTTTTTAGAGAGAGCGAGTGAGCATGAGTGGTGGGGGAGGGGTAAAGGAAGAGGGAGAAACAGACTTCCCACTGAGGAGGGACCCTGGATGAGGGGTTGGATCCCAGGACCCTGGGATCATGACCTGAGCTGAAGGCAGACGCTTAACTGACTAAGCCACCCAGGCACCCTACATTATTTAATCTTTACAATTTTTTTTGGTTGTTAAGTAGTGTATCAGTTAGGGCTTATTGGCAAAACCAACAGAAACAGACTCTGGCTAACAAGCAAAAAATGAAATTTGATGGAAGGGAAGCAGACTCAGAGAGGACAGAAACAGTGACTTTGGCAGTCCTGACAGGACAGAAAGAAGCCAAATATTAATTTTCTGCCTTTGCATCACTGTGCTCAAAATTCAAATTAAAAGTAGAGAGTCCAGGGGTGCCTGGGTGGCTTACTTGGTTAAGCGTCCGACTCATGATTTTGGCTCAGGTCATGATCTCATGGGTCCTGAGATGGAGCCCGGCATTGGGCTCTGTGCTCAGTGGGGAGTCTGCTTGGGATTCTCTCTCTCCCTCTGTCCCTCCCCCCATTCCCATGTGCTCTCTCTCTCTTTTTCAAATAAATAAATAAATAAATAAATCTTTAAAAAAAGCATAGAGTCCATTTGGTCTTACTTTGGTCAAGAGGCTACTCATTTAGTTAAGATGGGGGGGGTAAGGCTCCTTAACTTACCTTGATTTACTGTCTCACCAAGAAATGTATACAATGGTAGAAGGGTAATTGATCAAAAGGAAATTGGCTGCTATTAGCAAAACAAGGGAAGAATGGATATTGAGTGGCCTAAAACAACAAATATCCACTATGAGTAAGTAATATGATTTCCAATTATGTGAAAATTAATAAAAGGAGATCTCACTAAAGCAGAGCCAGGAGGCTAGAGTGGGAGGCTAGAAGAGGAAGCTATACCACTCAACCTCAGTTACAGGAAGAATTAATTACAGACCCCAACAGAAGAATCCTCAACAGGAAAGAGTTATAAATTATAGGCTTCAACAGGGAAAGATGTATACTGCATCTCCTACAAGAAATTGACCATCCCTGCAATTCTGCCAGTGGGAAACTGTCATCATCTGGAACTCTGTTTCTCTCTAATGGACTTTTGTTCAAAACAATCCCTCCTACTCTCCTCCTGTTTTATAAAATAACATCCTTTGTTTGTTGTACTTGCCTGTGGTTTTATCATAGTGTCCATATCCCAAATTGCAATCCTGTGCTATTCTCGAATAAACCTATTTTTGCTAGTAAAATAACTGATTCTTCTATTTTTAAGGTTTAACAATTATAAGGAAAACAAAGCTCAGAGAGGTAAGTTAACTCGCCCAAAGTCACACAGCTAGTAGAAAGCAGAGCTAGCGACTGAACCCAGATTAACTGACATGCTCTTAATGATGATGCTGGGTGGCTTCCAATGGCTAACTCAGACCAGGTATATTTATGTTTGAATCTCCACAGAGCGGTTGACTTTCTACTGACTGATGCTGCTTCAAATAGGGTATAAAGATGAATCTAATGCTAGTCCTTTTCCCTCTTGATCCTAGGCCTTAGGTAGCCAGAAATTGGGGGTGTATTTTGATAACAGACCAAAAAACTTGAAATCATCTGCAGTCTGCCTCATCCTGAAATGCTCAGCAGGATACAAGTAGTTCAGACAGCAATCAATAGGCTTCTGGTGTGGCACGGGAAGAACAAAACCCCTAATTGCCTCTATCCTTTGAGTCCACCAACATGGACTACAACATTGTAAGAACTGCTGTAATACCTGCAGGGTTGACTGTTTACAAAGAATAGACACCTACCTGAATTTCTACAAGAAAATAGGGGCTTGGTGTGGAGACATGGGGAACAGGTATGAGGATGTGTGGGAGCTGGACTAAAACTGGAAAGCACCCACAGAATCCAGGCTGCTCCAGGACTCACTCTCCATTTCTCTCTCAGGGGCCGTGTGGCTCCCTCATGGTATCTCTGCTCCTCTCTGAATAGACTTAATTCCCTTCCTGTGACCTGTATTCCTTCACAACATAGTTTGCTCCAGTCATCACTTCCACATTTCAGGAAGAAGGTTCAGGGAGGGGAAAAGTCATCCTCTTTGTCCATCAAGGTTTCCCTTACATCTCATTGGTCAGAATGGGATCACATGGCCACTCCTGGCTGTAAGACTGGCTGGGGAATCCTGTAAGGAGCTTTTCTAGTCTCTCTCTTGGAGAGAGGCATGGGAGAGGGAGCTGGAGTTAACCTACTATAACGTATCTGCCCCAGGAGGTGGAATTTAGATCAACCGGCCAGCGTGGTTGAGATAAAATTTATAAAATGGTTTGAAACTATAAAGCACTGTAAAATGTTGGCTTCAACATGGGATGCATGTGGTACAACACATTTCGAGGGTCATTTAAAGGGCCCCAGAGTGTGCATCTAATTTGCTTGAGTCATTTCATCTTAAAAATTATATCCATAAAAAAGAATTCCAAAGAAGCAAAAAGTTGTATGTAGACAATTTTTAATGCAGCACTGCCTAAAATCACTAAAATTTCTCAACTCAATGGAATATTTTATACCCATTAAAATACGTATAAATATGAAATATTTGTGTTAAAATGTTATATAACAAAACCATGATACAGAATTAAACCTACCCTATAATGACAAATTTGTAAATTGTGTCTGTGCTGGGAATGAGTGCAGAAAAGCTGATATATATGATGGAAGTGGGACTCCATGTTGCTTTTTCTTGTTTTCTTTAATATTTTCATAATACTCTTTGTATGTTAATGCAATCAGGAGAAAAAAAAACAAATACAGTGGCTCTGTAGGCTTGGCTCAACTGTCAGGGACTGAACAGAGTCATATATCTTAGGACATATCTGACTTATTCCCTAGAAATGAGGAGAAGTTTAGCCCTTTGATATTTGTGTCTATCCCTTTCCTCTAGGAGCAAAATATCAGATAAAAGAGTTTGTGGTTCTTTTCCTTCTGTTCTTTTCATGTGAAGGAAGTGCAACTTCCCTTCTGTCCTATTCCAGAAATTAGTAATCTTACCTCAGCCCCACTCAGGTCAGGTCCTGAACCACTTCTTCTTTCAAGGATGGGAAACAGGAAGAAGTATTTCAGGGGCAGTGGTAGTGCATGTTTGTCTCTGCCCTGCAAGTAACCTCTGCCAACCATGTTTTAGTGTGATCTTGGGGGGGAATACCTAAGACTCCCACAAAGCATATGGTGTGACTGTTTCTTTCTCCTGCCTGAAGTTTGGATCCCTGTTTGGACAACTGAGGGAGCCTGTGGAACCATCTAGAATGCTTCTGAGAGAGCAACAGGCACCTTTGAGGCCAATATACCCTTTATATATCATTGGGGATGTGCTAGCCATATCATTGGTCAACCCAAGACACAATGGGTAGAATAATTACAGCTAATGTTGACTGAATATTCACTACATGCACTTTGACATCTACTAATCTCATTTAATCATCACAACAACTCCAAGAGGTATGTACTATTATTGCCATCATTTTCCAGATGAGGACAAGGAGGTCCAGAGAATAACTTGCTTAATTAAGGTCAAACATGTATAGAGATAGGATTTTAACCCCCTTAGTCTGGCTTCAGGCACTAAAGGCTTAATCAGATTGCTAAGAATGACATTCAGGTGGAACTTTTCTCAGCAATAAGTGTAATGGAAAAACAATATTATGTTATTTGTACTTCCCAGAATCTTCTCAGAAGGGTAGATCCTGTGTGGCCAGTTCCTTTGAATGTAGTGGATCAAGCAAACTGGAGAGGTTTAAACAGAGGTAACTTCTCTGTGCAGGTGGGGGGTGGGGGAAAGATTTGGAGAGATGGGTCTGGGAGATTGTGTTGGGAAGAGAGGAGCCACCATCCTGGGTGCCATGTGGGGCATGGGAGATTAAGGAGACCCTGCTACCTTCCTCATTCTCTTGAGACCAAAGGCAGAAAATTAGGGAGAAGAAACATGGTAAAGAGGATTTGTGAAGTTGAATATAGAGACTCATGTGATACCCCACTTATTTGAAGGAGGTGAGAGAATAAGTCTTGAAGATATCTGGGGGGAAGAATAGTCCAGTTAGAGGGAACAGCCAATGTGCTGGAAGTGTGCCTGGTATGTCTGAGGACCACCAAGGAGGCCAGCATGGCAGGAGTGGAAGGAGCGAGGGGTCAAAGAGGAGATGAACTCAGAGAGCTAAGGTTGGGAGAATGGGACAATATGCCCCATGTCGACAGATCACACAGGGCACTGTTGCTATTGACTGAATGTGTAAGAACATCTCTAGTACGGTGCCCTGGCCACCTGGCACTGCCACATAAACCACACAGGCAAAGACTTGAACAACAGCTTGTCTGAGTTTTGGCAGAATGCCTGTGATCTTCCCAGAACAGAGAATATGGGAGGCCTGTGAAGAGCTGCACTGGGGCCATTTTCTGCTTGCCTTTCTTCTTCTCTTAGGATTCCATCATGAACCAGTTTCTGTGGTCTCCCAGGTTCTGAAGAGGTATAGAATTTTCTTGCCCGTCCACCCTCACCCCCAAGAGCTACAGACTAAAACTGCTTCATCTATTAGTCTAGAATATTGCATCCCCTTTTTCCTTTTTCTTTTTTTTTTTTTAAAGATTTTATTTATTTATTTGACAGAGAGAGCCAGAGAGCACAAGTGGAGGGAATGGCAGAGGGAGAGGGAGAAGCAGGCTCTGCACTGAGTAGGGAGCCCAATGTGGGACTTGATCCCAGGACCCCAGGATTATGACCTGAGCCGAAGGCAGGCACTTAACTGACTGAACCACCCAGGTGCCCCTGCCTCCCTTTTTTCAATTCATCCTTTTTGATTTGCAGGACAAGAACCACGTGGAAATTTAGTTTTGCCAGCTAGGTAAGTAATAAACCGTCTGAACCTAAAAGTAGCTTATTGTTATCTTTACTGATCCATCAGTCAGGCCTTGGCGTGACCTAACCTTACTGTCTGCTTGAGGATGAGATGGGGCAAGCTGTGGGAAACGAGATTGAGAGCCACCAGGCATTCTGTTTTAGACATACTTGTTTTGAGGTACTTGTTAGACATTGAGCAGGCAATTGGATATCTGAGTTTGGAACTCAAGAGGGTCATCTGGGATGGAGATATAAACTTTGGCATTGTCAGCATATAGATGATATTTATAGCCCTGAGGCCACCAAAGAACAGAGTGCAGGTAAAAAAGAGGCCCAAAGACTGAGCTCTGGGATCCTCCTTAGGAGCTTGAGAGAAAAGAAGGGATTGACAAAAGAAACAAGGAGGAGGGACTGGGATGAAGGAGAACCAGGAGAGTGGGGAGTCCCCAAGGCCAATGTACAAATTGGTTCCAGGAAGGAGTGGTCAAATGTCAAAAGCTGCTGTGAATCATTTAAGATGAAGATTGAGAAACAACTATTGGAGTTAACCATGTATCCTTGGTAACTTTGATGGAAACAGTTTTGGTGGAGTGGGGACTGGGGTGGGGCAAATGCTTGATTGGAATGGGTTTAAAGGACAGTGGGAAGAGCAGAATTGAGCACAGCAAATGCAGACAACTGTTTTAGAAACTGTTTTGCAAAAAGGAAGCAAAAAATGGAGCACTTGGGGGGGGGGAAGTGGGATCAAAGAAAGTATTTGCTTTTTCATTAAGAGAAATTATTTCTGATGGAAATACCAGATTTCTGTGTATCCAATCAGTATTGTTTTCATTGACCTTATGCATTTATTCCAGAACCAATACCATACTTTAACTTACAATGGCTTTGGGGTTTTACTTCGATATGGCACCTCTGGCTGTGGAATGGTATGATGCAATAAGGTATATTTCAGAGTTTTCTAAGCTATTTCTATGTGTTTTCTCTTCCAGATGAATTTTATTTTTATTTTATTATTTTAAAATTTATTATTTCATTTTAAAACAATGCACATTACATAAATTTCTGAAAATCAGAAAAATAGAAGGAATTCTTTTTCATTGTACACTATAATACCGCCAAGCAGAAGATACCACTATTACATTTTTCTTTCTTCTCACATTTCTTTCTCTTTTTCTCTCTCTCTAGATATATCTATATATATGTGGGTGGTGTTATATAATTATGATTTTTTAAAGAAATCTTATTTATTTATTTGGCAGAGAGAGAGAGAGAGAGTGAGAGCACACAAGCAGGTGGAGCAGCAGAGGGAGAGGGAGAAGCAGACTCCCTGCTGAGCAAGCACTCCATCGTGGGGCTCCATCCCAGGACCCTGGGATCATGACCTGAGCTGAAGGCAGATGCTTAACCAACTGAGCCACCCAGGCACCCCACTTCCAAGTGAACTTTAGAATCAGCTTGTCAAATTCAATAATAATGCTGTTGAGTGAGATTACACTGAATTACTGAGTACTCTGATGGAGAACTGATGTATTTATAGTGTTAAGCCTTGTCATCCATGAATATGGCTTGTCTCTCTATTCTTTGATGTCCCTGAGGAAAACCTAATAGTTTAAAAATATAATTTTTACATATTTCATGTTAAATTTATGCTTACATGTTTTACAGCTTTTTGATGTTATGGATGGTGTTTTCTTATATTTTTTCATTAGAAGATTAGTCAGTCTTAGCTGAACAAGGAATAGGTTAGATTTTTATATGTTCATCTTGCTGAATAAGATTAGTTCTAACAAGTTATTGTTAACAGTCTTGGATTTTCATACTTTCTGCAAATGACTTTTTGCCCATTGAACATGCCTTGTGCAGGAAAGAGTTATGATTGGATGTTACTGTCTGCCCATAATTTTTGCTCTTGGGAAGTCAACAAAATGATCAGAACAATTCTTTCAAGTGGTTTCCTAGCTGTGCCAGATTAACTCAAACTCAAAGAGAAAATAATTGCACTGGTGGCGCTATGTAATACTGGAATCTTGCTTTATATTGACTTGGATAGAGAGTAGATGAATGGTTAAAAAAAATAAAGGAAAAAACCCAGACAAATACAGAAGGAAATTTTACTTCTAAAAGCTTATTTTAAAATCTTTTCAATAGGGGTGCCTGGGTGGCTCAATCGTTAAGTGTCTGCCTTCGGCTCTGGTCATGATCCCTGAGATTGAGCCCTGCAGGGGCTCCCTGCTCTGTGGGAAGCCTGCTTCTCCCTCTACCACTCCCTCTGCTTGTGTTCTCTCTCTCCCTGTGTCTCTCTCTGTCAAATAAATAAATAAAATCTTTAAAAAAATCTTTTCAATAAATGGAACTGGGAAATTATTTGTTCATATGGACAAAAATGAAATTGGACTCCCTATTTCACACCACACACACCCAAAATAAAAAATAATTAAGACAATTTTGCAGAAAGCCAGAAATTAAATAATGTAAGTAAAACAAATATTTGAGAATATATCAGTGAAAAACTTTTTTCTAACTTTGGAGATTTCTTAAGTCACAGGAAAGGCTAGTAATAATAATCCATATTAAACATAAAAACATCTGCCCAAGAGAAATGCCAATTATTATAATCGATAATAGCATCTAACTTGTAGTTTCAGCATGAGTATCAGAAGAGATTATATCTGTGAAAGTGACTTGTAAAGTGCTAGGCAAATGGTGGTTATGTTTACTTTTGAATCCGCTAGCAATATGCTTTATTTTCTATTTAGGATTATTTGGTGTTAAGAACACTGGTTCACTCAAATTATTTCAAGTTTTGAAGATTTCATAGGATTCTATGATAGCCTGATCACTACTGATCACTAATTTTTTCTTCTGTTTTCAGGTACAGGAAACAACTCCACTTCTGTGCCTGGATTTCTGAGATAACACATGGAAGATAACTTCTTGGGAGAGTTTCTCTTTCCTGTAGTAAATTTTGGACAAATAAGAAATAAACTTCTATTATATTAGGCACTGAGATTTTGGTATTGTTTGTTACTGCACAAAACCTGTTTTTGATGCAGAAATCCATAGTCTGGAAGGAAAATCCATCTGAATTTCTAGTTTTTTAAATTGTAAAGTTAGGATGCCGATTTGAGATCTTCCTTTTATTTTAATGTGTTTATGACTATAAATTTTCCCTTAGCACTGCTTTCACTGCATCCCATTTTAAATTTTGATATGTTGTGGTTTTGCTTCATTCGTCTCTAAATATTTTAAAATTTCCCTTGTAATTTCTTCTTTGGCCATTAGTTCTTTAAGAATATGTTGCTTAGGGGTGCCTGGGTGGCTCAGTTCGTTAAGTGTCTGCCTTTGGCTCAGGTCATGATCCCAGGGTTGTCAGATCGAGCCCTATACTGGGCTCCTTGCACAGCGGAGAGCCTGCTTCTCCCTCTCCCTCTGCTGCTCCCCCTGCTTGTTCTCCCTTTCTCTTTGTCAAATAAATAAATAAAATCTTTAAAAAAAAAGAGTATGTTGCTTAATCTTCACAAATCTGTGAATTTTCCAGTTTTCCTTCCATTGTTGATTCTAACTTTATCTTATTGTGGTTGGAAAAGATACTTTGTATAATATCTATCTTTTTTTTTTTTTTACTGTGGGAAAAGTTTTATTATTTGAAGTAGGACGTACTTGGTTTTAAATTTTTTTCTTTAATTTTTTTATTGTTATGTTAATCACCATACATTGCATCATTAGTTTTTGATGTAGTGTTCCATGATTCATTGTTTGTGTATAACACCCAGTGCTCCATGCAGAACGTGCCCTCTTTAATGCCCATCACCAGGCTAACCCATTCCTCCACCCCCTATAATATCTATCTTTTAAAAATGTATTGAGACTTGGGGCACCTGGCTGGCTCAGTTGGTAGAGCATGCAACCCTTGATCTCAGGGTTGTGAGTTTAAGCCTCATGTTAGTCATAGAGCTTACTTAAAAAAAAATCTATTGAGACTTAATTTGTTGCCTAACATAAGGTCTGTCTTAGAGAACATCCCATATGGACTTGAGAAGAGTATTCTGTTATTGTGGGGTAATGTGTTCTGTATATGTCTCTTAGATCTAGTTGGCTTATTGGGTTGTTCAAGTCCTCTGTGTCTTTACTTATCTTCTGTCTGGTTATTCTATCCATTATTGAGAATAGAGTATTGAAGTCTCCAACTATTATTATAGGATGGTCTATTTATTCCTTAAATTCTGTCAATTTTTATTTCATATATTCTGATGGCCTGTTATTAGGTGTGTAAATGTTTATAATTGCTGTATTTTCTTGTTGTTTTGAAACTTTTATTAATATATAATGTCTTTCTTTGTCCCTTGTGTAAACTTTCTGATTTAAAATTTAATTTGTCTGGGGCACTTGAGTGGCTCAGTTGGGTTAAATGTCCAACTCTTGATTTCAGCTCAAGTCATGATCTCAGGGTTGTGAGATTGAGCCCCTAGTTGGGCTCTGTGCTCACCGAGGAGTCTGCTTAAGATTCTCTCCCTCTCCTTCTGCCCCCTTTCCCCAGCCCTTGCTCATGAATGTGCATGTGCGTGCTCTCTCTCAAAAATTAAAAAAAAATTTTGTCTGATTGTAATATAGCTACCCTTGCTCTTTTCTGGTTACTATTTGCAAGTATCTTTTTCCATCTGCTTACTTACTTATTTTTTTTAAAGATTTTTATTTATTTATTTGACAGAGAGAGACACATCGAGAGAGGGAACACAAGCAGAGGGAGTGGGAGAGGGAGAAGCAGGTTTCCTGCTGATCAGGGAGCCTGATGTGGGGCTTGACCCCAGAACCCCAGGATCATGACCCAAGCCAAAGGCAGATGCTTAACGACTGAGCCACCCAGTTGCCCCTCCATCAGTTTACTTTCCATTGGTTTGTGTCTTTCTACCTAAAGTGAGTCTCTTATGGAGAGCACACAGAATATAGTTGGCTTATGTTTTTTAAATTCATTCTGCCATTCTTTGTCTTTTGTAGAGAGGGTAATCCATTTACATTCAAAGTAATTATTGATAAGGAGGGACTTACTTCTGACATGTTGCTGTTTATTTTTTTTAGGTCTTTTGTGTGTGTTTGTGTTTGTGTGTGTGTGTGTGTGTGTGTGTGTGTGTGTGTGGTGACCTCTACAAGACCTGTTACTTTTTCTTTTTTTTTTAAATTTTATTATGTTATGTTAGTCACTATACATCATTAGTTTTTGATGTAGTGACCCACGATCCATTGTTTTCGCATAACACCAGTGCTCCATGCAATACATACCCTCCTTAATACCCATCACCGGGCTAACCCATCCCCCCAATCCCCTTCCCTCTAAAACCCTGTTTGCTTCTCAGAGTCCATAGTCTCTCATGGCTCATCTCTCCCTCCGATTTGCCCCCCTTCATTTTTCCCTTCCTTCTTCTAATGGCCTCCATGCTATTCCTTATGTTTCACAAATAAATGAAACCATATGATAATTGACTTTCTCTGCTTGACTTGTTTCACTTAACATAATCTCCTCCAGTCCCATCCATGTTGATGTAAAAGTTGGGTATTCATCCTTTCTGGTGGCTGAGTAATATTCCATTGTATATATGGACCACATCTTCTTTATCCATTCATCTGTTGAAGGGCATCTCAACTCTTTCTACAGTTTTGCTATCGCCGACACTGCTGCTATGAACATTGGGGTGCATCTGGCCCTTCTTTTCACTACATCTGTGTCTTTGGGGTAAATGCCCAGTAGTGCAATTGTTGGGTCATAGGGTAGCTCTATTTTTAATTTTTTGAGGCACCTCCGCACTGTTTTCCAAAGTGGCTGTACCAACTTGCATTCCCGCCAACAGTGTAAGAGAGTTCCCTTTTCTGCACAACCTCTCCAACATTTATTGTTTCTTTCCCTGTCCATTTTTGCCATTCTAACTGGTGTAAGGTGGTATCTCAGTGTGGTTTTGATTTGAATTTCCCTGATGGCTAGTGATGATGAACATTTTTTTCATGTGTCTCTTAGCCATTTGTATGTCTTCTTCAGAGAAGTATCTATTCATGTCTTCTGCCCATTTTTTAACTTGATTATTTGTTTTTTGGGAGTTGAGTTTGAGAATTTCTTTATAGATCATGGATACCAGCCCTTTATCTGTAGTGTCATTTGCAAATATCTTCTCCCATTCTGTGGG